CGTTGCTCGTTGCTACAGGTTGGCGATAAACAGAAACCCACAAGGAGGTCGGGGATTATGGGATTAACACACAGCTGGTGTGTTGTTATATGTGGCCAACAGCTTCCTTTACATTTAAGTCAATATGTTACGTTTTTTAAGGTGTCTTTGTGCTTTAAGGTAATTATCCTTTAATGCATGTATCTTTTTGAATGGAGATTAGTGCCCTTTAACAAACGTCCTCTGTATGACTCAGAGATGAGTCACTTCTCAAGATATTTTAATGCATCACAACGGCAACAAAGGTTAATGTGGACAGATTGATGATACACATTTTTTTCTTTACATATTGCTGTGGTGTTATGATTTACTGTTATCAAAGGACCGGTAAGTAGGATTAAGTGGCATCTACTGGTGAAGTTTCAGACTGCAACCAATTGAATACCTCTTGCTTTCTGAGTGTGTAGGAGAAACTATGGAGGCTGTGAAATCATGAAAAAAATGCAGAAGTCCCTATCTAGAGTCAGTTTCGATGTGTCCGTTCTGGGCTACTGTAGAATCATGGTGGTTCGATATGGTGGACTCCGCCATAAGAGGACCCGCTCCCTCTGTAGATACAAATGTCTAATTGTAAGGTAACGAAAACACAATAATTCTTATTTTCAGGTGATTATACACTAATGAAAACATGAATATTACATTCCATTTCTGACAATAGATCCTCCTGAATGTTACACACTGGACCTTTAAAGTATAACATTCGACAGTGACATATGACATTTTCAGCACTATGCATCACATTAGCGTAGGTCACCAAAACAGCCATCATCAATCCCTACAGCCAAATGTTGACTAAACCTTAACCAAGGCACACGCTTGCCATATTTGGCCTGGATAAAATATATATATATATATATATTTTTTTTTTTCCCTGGGGGAGGTTGCCCAAACCCCATGTCCGCAACCACAGCACCTAAACCCTCCAGAAACCTAGGGAGAACCCGGATATATAGAATACCATAATTCACGCAGATGTCTGGCATGTCCTGGCAATCAGGCAAATCTACATTCAGTTCTTAAATACTATCATCAACCACTGGACTGTGAACACAATCACCTCCTTAACAGTAAGTTGAGTCCTGATATTACTGACTAGTCCAACACCAAAAAGGCCAGCCTGCCATCTGTTTGCAGTCTTTTATTTCACCAAACTCCCTTTAGACAACCACTAAAAGCCAGTCCCACTTGTACTGTTGTCCATCAACATCCTCTCAGGTCTCTTTGCCTCTGCAATTCTCTGCAGAGGCTGTTGAGCTCTGTTACATTGCCCACATGCCCTGCTCCAGCTCTGGCAACCCCTTGACCCGGGCCTGAACACCTCCTCCAGAGGTTCAAAGATCTCTCACTAGCAGTGTAGTATACCAACACACACTCCGGGCAGCATGGACTGACCTAACTAACTTACTTCAGCAACAAGTTTACTGTCCATCAGGAAACTCACAGAGAGTTGAGACGGTGCAGCTGGAAGAGACCAAAGTAACAGAGTTAAAGAAAAGGAGTACAGAGGAACCGTTCACCCTGTTACCACATACAGCATCAAAATAAGAGTGAAGCTGTTGTTTTATGGTAGAAAAGTTATATAATGGGGCTTAAATTATGTTTTCACTATTTATAAGTCATCTTTTAGTAAGTGAATTTCATAGAAATCTTCATTTTAAGAATTAAAACATTAACCTCATTAAGGACCAAAGTGTTGTCAAGTGGACATTCTGTCTGAATGATTTTACATTAGAATTTATCCTTGTGAATATCCACTTCAGATATCATTGCAGTCCGGCTGGTAGTTCAGGACCAAACAGTTGGAATGACGTACAGATGGACAGACATCTCTTTTCAACTCCTGTGGTCCATCTTACAGCAGACTGCTACAGATGGCATCAATATCACAACGAATACGACTGCTGACTGTTTATGCTTCTTAAATTCATCAGTTAAAATCAAGAAAGTGGGGGCATGGCAGTGACCTCCTGCTGGTCTCATCATTAAATGCTACGTGCACACAGTTTCAGAGTGGGTTTTCATTAAACATGGCAGCTGTTTGGCAGCGCAGGCTCGGTGCTGAAATACACCAACTGACAAAATTTGCATGACATCCTCCTCCAACTGCTGCCAATTATCCTGAAACACAACCTGCTGCGGAGACTCACTTCCATCTGTTCACTAGTTGCAGTTTCCATTAAAGGTAGTGAAAGCCTTTCTCTGTTTTAACTTAGAGTTTAGTCTTGTTTGAATAAATCCTGATGATTTCACACCGAGTGAAATGCAAACGAGATGCATGTGAGCTAGTTACACAGGAATCTTACGGACTGTTCCCATCTGTGAACAAGCTGTTAGTTTGTAGAGTCTGTGTGAGTCTGCAGAGTTATTAGAGTTTTGTATTTTTCATTAGTTTTTATTTTGTTGCATTTTTGTTTTTATTTCAGTTTAGTTTCAGTTTAGGTTTTTATTTTCTTATTTTTTTGTTTTAGTTTAATTTTCAATTTTTGTCAGAATGACTCACAGTCCTATGGACATCCCAGTCTTGATAAACATATACACCAATGCCTCCAAAAGACATTTCCTGTAAATTACTTTAACATTATTAATATTATGTAGGTACATACACAATATTGTTTCAGTTGTTTTTTCTAAAGTCTAGGTTTTTTTTTTTTATTAAGTTAACTAAAACAGGTTTCTTTTTTATGTTTATCGTATAACAGAAGGGTGCCAATTAGAGGCAGGTCTCCTTTAGAAGCCTGGTGTGGCTTTAAAAAATTTGGCTTTAACAAATAAATGCGAGTCTCAACTAAAGGCCTGGTCTGGATTTAATAGAAGTTCTTTGGATGTTTTAAACCCCTTAAAATCCACCGGGTTGCCCACTCGAGTGAGTTCTAAGCTGCTTAGAATGTAAATATGGAAATCTTTAGATCAGTTTGATTCTCCTTAATTCAAGCCTTCAGTTCACTTTATGGAAACCATCAGTACTTAAGTATCAAATGAGTGATTTGTTTATTTTTATGTTATTCGATAGCCTTATTTTTACAAAGTAAAAAGTAATATTCATACATGTTTAAATGGGTTGGGTTGGGTTATTAATTGAAGTTTTTATAGTTTTAGTTCATTATAATGGACCCTGATAGATTCAGGGTCTGGACTGTTCCAAGTCACTAGTTAAATTTCAGATAATTATAAATTAGTTTATAATAGATGAGTTTTTTAAATTTTATTTTTAAAGATTCAAGCAGTCATTCCCTGCAGTTAAAAGCAGTGATTTTTGGCGTATAACCTCTTACAATAAAGCAGTTGGACCTGCGGGATCCCAATCCAGTTAAACAGGCTTGTATATGTGCTTTGTGCCAGTGCGTTTCCACCAAAGAGACATCTCCCCTATCACCCTCTAAGATGGTTTCATCTAAATAAGTCTTCTAAGAGGTAATTCAATCACTGGTCTATTCTCTATGTTACACTAACAAGTTTAAAGGATGTCTAGTATTGTCAGTAAGTCCCATGAAGAGGACACTACAATCATAGCCATCTCTCCAGCTGCTTTTTCTTCAAGGTATCTGTAGACTTTCAGCTCCTGGTTGGTGAGCAGTTAAGAGTGGCACAAAAACCCACAAGGAGGTGGGGGATTATGGGATTAACACACAGCTGGTGTGTTGTGAAGAATCAGAACAAAATGTCATGATTCTGTTGTATATGACTATTAGATTAGTGCCCTTTAAAACATTTCCTCAGCTGCCCCTGTGTGACCCTGTGGACCGAGAGATGAGTAATGACTTATTGTCAAGATAGTATCATGCATTACAACACCAACAAAGGTTAATAACATCTGTGGACAAATACAAGCCTCCTCACTGCATTCATCAAAGATACTGTCCTGGATCACATTCAGTGGATGGACCTGAAATTTAAGATACGGTAAGATTGACTTTATTGATCCCACATGGGGGAATTCACTCGCTACAGCAGCTCCAGATACAACACAACAAACAAGAAAATACACATTAAATAAAGAAAAAAAACAATATATGATTAAAATAGAAAAAATAGAATAAGAGTTAAGTGTTCACTATATACAGATTTATATACAGATGTGATCCATATGAAACATTGCACAGGTAACAGCAGGAGGTGTAAAAATAAATGATGCACATGACTAAAATATACACAGCAGTATAGACGATATAGGCCATAGACATAGGGCTATGAATATACAGTATAAGTCTAATATTAATAATGTGCTTGTAAAAAAAATATATATGTAAAAGTGTACAGTACGGGTATAAAACTGAGAGTGATTTAAGTTGTTTTGTCAAGGTTAATATTGCTATACTTAATACATATCTTCATTTAATAAACATGTTTTAATTTGTGAACAATTCTTTCCCAAAACCAAAAATGTGTTTGTCGTCTCTAAATACTTTCTGACTTCCTACGTCTAAAGCGTCTGTGGCTAAAAGCTAAAAGTCCATTCTACAGACATGTGGGGACAAGTTATCGTTCATGGCAAGTCAAATATAAGAGTCTCAGTCTCAGAAGTCCAAGTCAAGTCATAAGTCGAGCTACATGTCAATACAGGCAAGTTGAATTCAAGATGAAAAAAGTCCCAACGAAGATCAACAAGTTCCAGGTTTATGTTCCAAATCAAGTCAGAAAACACCCAGAAATAGTCCTAAGTTAAGACCCAGGTAAAGAACAACAAGTTCCATACTGAGCCCCAAATCAAGTTAGAAGTCAAGTTCCAAGCCCCAAGTTAAGTTTAGTTTTAGTTAAGGAGTTCGGTCTAGACCTGCTCTATCTGAAAAGTGAGTTAACTTTTGTTATGAATTGGCGCTATACAAATAAAATTGAATTGAACGTTTGAAAAGACCAAACTGATGACAATAATAATAACATACAACCAGAAGTCCACTTTAACTCCATAACTGTGCTCACATTATCTCCAAAATGAGCTTCTATGATAACAGGACGACCTGTACCTCCATCTTGGTGAACAGATCCTGCTGCTGTCTCTCCCCTGTCTCCTTGGTTACCATGACAGCAGCATATCAAGGGATGCAGAGAGTGCTAAAATAAGGGACCAATTACTGAGACTGATGCTGATACAGTAGATGTTTGTCATCCATGTCCTGACGAGCTAACTGTTCTGATGCTGTGTCCTGATAACTACTGTGAGGCCTCACCCAGTGTGACCCCAGACAGCCGGGAACAGTAATCCTCTCCTTAGGCAGCACCGAGCCCTTCTGCCTCAACAACCACATTTATATGGTAGACACCTTTCCAAGCATAAACATTGCTTCATTCATTCATCATTCATCACGCTGACCTTCTGATGGTGGTCAGTGTTTGGCTGCTTTTTTATTCAAGTAATTCTGCTTCGTCTTTTACTTGCTCCTCCGTCCTCCAGCCCCAGTAAGGTCCCAAATCCAGACCAACAAGTCCCAAGTCAAGTCCCAGGTCAAGGCAGGCATCTTGCAGGAGATGGGGAGAGAATCACAGGTGTATCGTATGCGGGACATTTTCAATTGGACAGCAACGCTTCTTCTTATTGGATATTTTTACCGATTGCTCAGCTGATATGATGGGACAATGAAAACAATTGCTGCCTGCCAGGAAAACATAGAGAAAGTCATTAATATTATTGCGTAATGTCAATATCTTCAGAACTACCAGTGAAACCGGAATAACAGCATCAGCAGCAGCTCGGATGTCATTTGTGTTGTATGCCGGGAAAAGTCCGGAAGGTGATGCCTTTCTCTGGGTGCAGGCAACATGGAGGACAGTTAAATCTTCACTTTCTTACCCAAAGATGGTTCAAAATTTGCAAATTTTCCCTTAAAGTCAAACATCCTGTACGATGGTGGATTTCCAGGCCAGACAGGAGGACGGTCGAGCGAGGAGCGTAGCTGAATATAAAGCAACCTGTGAGTGTTGTTTATCCTGAATGACCTCTAATTATCAGATATGATTAAGTTGATGTGGTGAAATGCATTTTGTTTCCTTCTTCCCTTCTTGCACTCAGACACCTCCACACTCTTCCACAGCCACCTGCAGCTACATGCACACTGAGACAAACAGAATGTCATCACCATTAAAGAAAATGTCATGGCCAATCAATGGCAGCCTTTGGTGTCCCAGTGAAGAGCCCTAAGTATTTTACACTCTCATACAGATCAGCGTGACGAGCTTCCACACTGACGAATGACTCACAGTCACTTTCACATAACAATAACAAAGATTTGCTCTTTCCCAAAGCCTGACACAGGTTTCCACTGAGCCCCACACCCAGATGACAAACTGAATTCCTGAGATCAAAAAGACAAAAATTGTCCAAAAAGGGCCATTTTTGATAATGTCAAAGACAATTTGAAAAGGTCCATCTCTGATAATGTCAGAGCTGTTGAAGCTAAAAGCATCTTGTGAGAGAGAGATAATAATGAGGCTCAGAGTGGAGGATGATGGGAGTCTTTGAGGAATGATGGCGGTGGTTTTATGGTCCGTGGCCAGATACTGTTGAACCAGACTTACAGCTCTAATGTAGCATTAACTATTTATAACTTTCTATCAATAAAAATAACAACACAATGTCAAACTTATTTGGAGAAGAAAACAAAGATAAACAATAAAATAATACACAAACTGGATTTTTAACAACCAGTTGGTGTCAATATGAAAATGGTCCACAGTGAAAAATCTCCTGGTTCAGTTAATCGGGATAAAGTGCTGCTTTATTTTATTTAATATTAGTAGAGGTTATATACCTTTATTATTCAGGAATGTAAATTATGTATATTTGGATTGATTGCAGCGGGGTACATCGTATCTTACTGGTAGTGACTTTGTATATTTAATTAATCAGATTATGTGTGGCGGTTATTGTGGGGCGGCTCTGGCTGTGGGGCGGCTGTGGTGCAGAGGCAGAGCGGGTCTTCCCCTAATCGGAAGGTTGTTGGTTCGATCCCCGGCTCACATGTCGAAGTATCCTTGAGGAAGATACTGAACCCGGAATTGCTCCTGATGCTGTGCATCGGTATGTGTATGAATGAATTAGTTTCTGTTTGATGGGCTTTGCCATCGCTGAGTGAATGTGTGTGAAAGGTTGAATGTGGCAAGCGAGGATGTCAGTGTGGTACGGTATGGAACCAAACATCAGAGACAGCTTCTCTTCCTGCTGACAGTTAACATTGTTTTTTGTAAAGCATGACCATGATTATCATAGTTATTACTGTAACCCTAACACCAAAGGTTCCATATGACACGAGTCATCATTAAACTGAACTGAAATTTGTATGAAACCTTTGGAAGGCACAGAAAAACATCCTGCTGACCGAGGAGTCAGACCAGAAATCGGTTATATGTGTACAACAAATGTTTTGAGGTGTTTGAACAACTAGGGTAGAAAAGTAATCCTGTTCATAAACATTTGAAAAGACATTACAGACAGAAATGAATGTTTAATCATTCAAGTCAAGCATGTCCTCAATAATGTGGAACAACTTCAGTATAATTTGACTTTGAAGAGTTTGGCTTAGAGAGAATTGCTGCGTTACTTCACACCAGCTCTCCTCTGCTTAAATCAAATCAATCAAATTATATGAAGATTAATTTACTGTTAATCGACTAATAATCATCAATATCCACCTACCAGCACCTCCCAAGTTCACAGATGAACATGCTGTATGTGAATTGTGTATTGACAATATGTGGTTTTATGGGGGAGGGGGTCACATTTTGAAGAATCCACTGGTTGCCAGGCAACCATACGGTAATTACCAAAGGTCCAGTAAGTCACTGCCCCCCTTTAATGGACGGCTGAAAGCTCTGTCAGTGATTGAGTGAATGGATCCTGAAGTCTGTCAGAAACTCCCAGGTGCTTATCGAGAGAGAGTGGCTCTCCGGGGGTGTCTGATCAATATCACACAGCTGTTGCAGGCTGCTATTAGAAAGCACAATTTACTTTCCCTCTTTAATGACACTCATCTTCGACTGTGTCCTCGGAAATGACGCACTCTTGACTTTTTAAGATGCATTGTAATGCGAGCTGCTTTTCTCTCTAAACGCAATAATTTGCTCATTGATTGGAAGGACGCAGCAGTGTCTGTCCCTGAGCATGCCCCCCCCCACACACACACACAGAAACAAGTAGAGTCTTAGAAAGCCAATTTCAGCCAGAGTTGCAGACTGTAATGATGGGCATTATTCGGAGGCAGCTCCCATAAGGCTGTCGGCTGGCTGAATTTCTCACTGAATTACATGGCCTGTCAAGAATTCAGCCCACTGGAGAGAGTCCAGAAATACCTCTCCGGGATGGACATGGAGTCTATTCTCTGAAGTGTTAAACTGAAAATAATGTGATCTAAAAAACATAAATAATGAACTGTAAAACTGAAATAATATATACTAATAATAATAATAATAATAATAATAATAAAGAAACATAACTAGTGCTGCATTGGAAACTGTCAGCTATACTCGCAGTGCAGTAATTCAAAAAATACCTATCTAGTCGTTTTGATTGCTGATACTGAATTGATGCATCGGACCAATCTACCTCCCCAAGTGTGTCCCACAGTGCTCAGACACAGTGCTCAGACACAGTGCTCAGACACAGTGCACAGACACAGTGCACAGACACAACAATCAGTCAGACCAACAATGGGAAGCTTCAAATTGTGTCATTAAATATATATCTGAGAATTTCTGAGACAATTTCAAGAAAATATATGGTGAATCAACATCAACATTCACAAGTGCCTCTGGGGGTAACTAGCAGTCAGCGGTCAGGTGATGCTCACAGAGACTGTCGATGTTAATGTTCATACCGCTGTTAATGTCAGATCAGCCCATCTCTCAGGTAAATGTTCATCTTTGGGAAAATCATGAACATTTAGAACTTAGGATGCTACACAGAATAGATAAACAGATTAATGCAGATTATGTGGCATAAGAGCAGCATCACATCAACACATATAGTCGTATGCATTATATGAGGCGGTTCTGAATACAGCCTATGTAAAGTATTTGTAGTTTATCATTTCTAGGCAGTCTAGAAGCTGTTTCCTGTTTTTACACAGTTGAAGAAGAAAGCAGCAAAAAAGTAGAGGTTTACTTGACCTCCTCTTGTAATTTATCATTACCGCGAACAGCAGCATTACATCAATGTATTCAGTTATCATCTTACAGCTAAATGGAACTGATTTTGCTCTTATTTTCACAAAGTTTCCCTCAGAAACGTCTTGTTTAGTTTGCACAATTTAACATTTTGTTATGTAAGATGCTGTGCTCTGACTCCTGGCTGCCTCACTGGACTTGGCATATTTCATGGTGATATGAGCAAATTGAAAAACTGTGAGGAAATAACCCACGTATGCTAGTGAGGCACTGGCTTGCAGGCAGACATAAAAACAGGAATGGTAAAGCAGCACGCTCATAACCCTGAAGCATTTATTTCAGCTAATAAAGATTTCAGCAAACTGCCTACTGACTGTGTGCTTTTATTAATCTACATTGTGTTAACTCAAAAGACATTTTAATTTGTTCCACCCTCACATATTCTCTCTCTTCCAGCTCTGGTTTTGGTCTCTACCAGCTCCCGGGGGTAAATATCTGTCTCCCAGCAGCTAAATGCTCCACTATATTCACCAGTTTGTCCCAACTGTCTGCTGTTTGCTGCTGAGCAGGTAGTGTGCAGTGGCTTTTTACAGATTTTTTCTCTGAAAATGACACTTAGAGTGTGAATATGAACAATAAGCTGAAACTCTACAAAAGCTCTGTAAATACGAGCTGCAGACTCAGACCCCTTTCACATTGTTTTCACATTGTAATTCCTATCATAAAAATGCTGATTCTAACTCTTTTAAGACAAAAGTCACAATATCTATTCCAATAAAGTTTATTCCAAAGAGATAACTGTGTCATTCATAAATGTTTACCAAAAAAGAGAAAGTTAGCGTTATTTATTGAAATTCTATACAGCAGCAGGTTTTTTGGCTTTATTGTTGAATGATCTCTTTGATTGGATTTGATTTTAAATGGT